CTTGCCTCCTCTCCACGCCCGGTGTCCTGTCTCCCTGCCGGCCATGGGGCCACGTGCGGGGGGGGGAGGGGGAGCATCTCTCCCCTCCAGGCTCAGGGCCTGAAAAGACCCCTGAGAAACCCCTGGAGTTCCCTTTCCCCATCCTTCAAAGCGTTGCAATGGTTCTTCAGATGGAAATGGAACTAGAACTGGGCCGCCCTACGTCGTGGGTGGGGAAAGGGATCCAGCACTGGCGCCACCGTGTGAAGAAACGAATCTTACTGAACTCTTCTATGAAGATAGGTTGATTCCTAAGGCACAGATGCGGCGAGTCTGTGTTCCCCGGTGCTCCGAAGTTTAAGCGGTTCCTCCTGAAGCAGGTAGGAAGCAAACTTCGGCATACTCCCTAAACCTCTCCCCTGTAAACCTGTAACTACAAGAAGCGTGCATGCCTCTTTAAGAGAGAAAAAGAAAGCTTAAAGAACATATTTAATCCCATCCGCAAGTCATCTAATAAGACTGCTTTGCTAACCCGAAAGCTAGTTCCGTTTCCAGCAAGGAACTCAGAGCACGCCAGCACGGCGAAAAAAGGGTTAAAGCTGCTCGAAACAGCTCCGCAGCCGGCCGCCCGCCGTGCCGTGCCGCTTGATGCCGGCCCCGGGCCGGCCCCGCGCCGCCGCTCCAGGTGAGGCCCCGACATCAGCCAGCCCCGCTCCTGCCGCGTCGAGCCGCCCGGGGCGAGGGCCCGCCCCGCAACGAACCGGACCGGACACCCGCGGTGCTGCCGCCGCCCCGCCGAGACCCCGGCGTTGCTGGCGGCCCTGGCCGAGCACGCCGATCCCGCCGCTCCCGCGCCGCCCCCGGCCCCGGCAGAACCCGCCGATCCCTCCTCCGCCCTGCTCCTGCTGCACACAGCCCCCCCCCCCCCCCGTCCCGCCATGTGGCCCGGGGCAGCCGCCGCCGCTCCGCCCTGGGCACCGAGACTGCCTCCGAGAAACAGAAGAAAAGAACCATTTGGACTCTAATGAAACTAAATTAATAACAATAAGTAGTTTGTTTGGTTCAGCAGTAAATTGAAAGTTTGTGCAAGTGAAAAACCTGTTTATAAATACATCAATAAAAACCTTTTTAAATTCTGTTTAATAGGGACACCCTCAGACACTAAGAGAATAGGGTAAATTTAAAATCCATATATCAATAAAAGCATATTCAGCTTTAAAGAATAAAAAAGGTGGAAATGTAGCACTAAACCTGCATTATATGGGAAAACTGTGGTTTAAACAGGTTTTAAAATGGCTTTTGGTGGTCTCTTTGCAAACACATGCTTCTTCCCAGCACCCTCCATGTTATCCATGCAGGAATGTCCTGCATAACCCCCGTGTTATCCATGCAGGAATGTCCTGGGAAGGTGTCCTGAGGTGTTTCCCATTGGCCTTTGTTAACCCCTTTCTATTGGCTGTTGACCCTTCACCTGATGGTTTTTTCTATGTGACCCTGAACTTGTGATTGGTCCCCTTTTGACCCTCCTGAAAGCCTTATAAACCCCTACCCCACAATAAACTTTTTCCTCTTTCGTCCGTCCCTCCCTGGTGGTCTGTGGGCTCCTTGCGGGGTCGCAGGGCCACGTGCTGGGGCGGGGGGAAGGGCATTCACCTCGCAGGTAATGGGCTAGCAGCCTAAAGCCTGGAGGTCTCCCCCATTCCCACTAATCCGTCGGACTTTGCCAAGCATTTATTTCTTCCTTTGTTTCCTGAACTTTATTACTGTCAGCCATTCATCAGCAGAAGAGCAGGCATACAAGGATAAGTGCTAAACACAGCCAGGCTCTGAGGTCATCCAAAGAGCAAAGAGAGGTGCAGGCTTAAAAGCTTAATGGTAAATCCCTTTCCCATCACTTTAAATATGAAATTCTTAAAAAACATTTAACTTTCTGAGAAATCTTCCCTCAACTTTGTCCAGTATGGAATACACAACCCAGTTTCATTTGTAAGGCCTGTCACTCACAGCTTTTTCCAGGAAAATGCTATCTCCGGAGAGGTGGTAGGTGCTCAGCAAGCCGCCCAGGATACGGATGGTGCTCTCAAACAGGTTCACATCCACATTTTTATCAAATACTAAATCATTTGCTACCCATTTTCTTGCTTCTTCAAATTCTGCAAAGTATAAAAGGTAGTTCATTTATGAACTTCTGGAATGTTCAAACAACTAGAGATATGAGTATTCCATATATCCCAGACACTTATTTATATCTGTCTACAGAGGTGATCATTTTAGGTGGAAAACTAAAGTGAAGAGCACATCCTGGCTTAATTCTTATTCAGCACACACCACAGATGCATACAGAAGAAATATCCACCAAAATAGAAAGTTCTTAATAGTCTAAGAAAAGAAGGAATAGAGGAAGTCTTTATTTAAAAAATCCAGAAATTTAAGTCTTTCAAATCCATCTATTTGACTTGTCAGACAATTAGTTACACTTTCACAGAGCCTTCTGTTTTCAATTAAATCTTCAACTAAAGCTGTTATCTACCAAGACAACAGACAACATATTCAGTTAACAGCCATTAACACCTTTAGCCTAGCAATGTCCTGGGGAGCCTGCTTCCTGCCTCAGCACTTAATACACAAAATCCTGGCAGGTTGCAATTTTTTTCTCTAGGAACAAAAATGGTTGTTTACGACACTACTAATTTAAAAAAAAAGATGCTACTAATTTAAAAAAAAGAACGTAAAAAGAAAGCCATTTTAGATTCATCAGCCAGCTTAGCAGCAGCAGCAGCATCGCTCAGTGACTGCATTGGCAGAGCGTCTGTCTCCATGGTGCATGTGAGTCAGCTCAGCCTCCAATTGTGAGGGCTGGGCTATCTCGAACAATCTCACAGCCTCCAGAAATTCCTTCTTGTGAGAAGCAGCAGCACAACCAGTTTTCCAGAAACTGAAGGCATTTCACAGAAGATAAACTCTAAAGCAAAAGGATGCCTCTGTGCCCTCTGGTCTTGGATGCTGAGCAGATTAAGAACCACAGAAAATCTCCCAGACAGATATTAGGGCTATTAGCAGCAGAACAGCAAAGGCACAGTCCTCTGCTACAGAAGCTTTTGCATTCATCAGCTAATAAAAAAGATTGGCAGCCTCAAAGAAAACTTTGATTTACATAGCATTTGTTATTCAGAAGATACCTCAGGAGCTTTCTATGGCAACCAGCAGAACTGCTATAAAATATTAAGAACTCCTCACCAAGAACCCCTTTTCAGCACATCTAAATTACTAACAATTTATTTTAAAAGTTTTATTCAGTTCGCAATTAATTTTTTAGGGAAAAAAAAGAGCAGCACACTGATAACTTGATGAAACTTCAAGACAGCCTGCTGAGGCCTAGAGCTGCACACAGATGACATATTAAACCAAACGAAAATTCTACTTTATGCAAACTTCAAAGGGAGAAGAGAGAGAACCATGAAGGACTGAGTATTTATTGTTCCCTTACTAGCACCTCTGTTCTTCCTATCTCAACAGAAAAAGCTGCATGATTAATAAAAGTTTACAAAGGAGGCTATCTACCAAGGTTAAATAAATACAGTTCCAGAAATTTTTAAATAACACTAAAAGCCCTGCACCACCAAAAAAAAAAAAAAAAAAAAAAAAGTCAATCACGCAACAAAAAATTCCTCTTAAACACTGATTAAGCATTTAAGTTTTTTGCAACAGAATTGCAAAAATTTTGGCTTGGTTTTTAAAATCTGTTTTAAAGTTTTCTAACATGGTCACTTCCAGAGTATCTCTCAAAAATACAGGCAGAAGAGCAATTCAGGAAGAAGGTACTGAGTGCTCCCTTTCTCCACCTATGGATTCCTTACAGATATATCCACTGCCTCTCTTGTTATATATAACCATGGAATATTCTTTTTCTGGCTCAAAATTCTACTGCAAGAAAAATGCTGTCCTTTAATATAGTTGGGGTTTTTAAAAAATATTTTATACACATTTATGTGTGTGTATGTATATGTATGTGTATATATATATATATATATATATATTTTTACCCACACAGGAAAGCTAAACTTACTGGTCACACGTAAAAAATGTTCCCCTCAAAGACCTTTGAACATGCACTGCCTGGATATAATATAAGGAATTATTTTAGAGGTAAACAAACGGAGGAGGAAAAAAGTTACCTTCCTTTAAGCCTAAAATCCACATGGTATCCAAGGCATCAATTAAGGTAAGCCCAAGTCCAAACCACTCACTGTAGGACTTGGACAAAGGCTTCAGCTCATCGTGGCCCCAGGCAAAATCCTTGTACCCTCTCCAGGCATGGCGGAAGGCTTCGATCACAGCCAGCTGGCGCTCATTTATGGGCACTGCAAAGGAAAACAGCACCTTGCTCAGGACTTCTGCAGGGCATTATGCAGCTATACCAAGCACCATTTTGCTGCATTCTACCCAAAATAAACTTTCTTCCAAACTAACTGATCCGTGCAATGGAAAAACCATCCTCATATTATTCTTTTCAGGACAGCCTTTTCTCTGTAGAATAACCAGTCAGTGTTTCTGGTCAGCAATTCAGCCAGGTGGATAAAGATATCTCTCCCTGGCAACAAAATTGTCACTTCTGCAAATAAAACATTAAAATAATCACATGTACAGTTGTAGATGATTATCACTAAAGCTCAAAGAGCTGAAGTCAGGAAATACCAAATTAAGATCCACAGTAATTCAGCTGCCGAATACATATGCTTAACAATACAATCCTCAACTGATCCAACACACACCATTTTTTCATCTTCCCTCTTTTATTTATTGCTTTCTGTTAAATTTAAAACCACTTCTATAAAATGAATGTCTTTTGAACTTTTCATTTAATACCAAAAGAGGAAGAGAATTTACATCTTTTGTCTTGGCAAAGCCATGTCTTTCTCCATAATTCTACTGATATTTGCTTGCAATTTGCCATCATGTGAATTTTATGTTACACATCCACCATGGAAAATTTCAAGCCCATTAGCTGAAATTTTTCAAAATTGTAAACAAAGACTTCTAGAGTGGGAAACACCAAGCAGCAAAGTTAACCCCATAAATATTCAGCTAGCAAAAGTGCAAATATATCACGTTGAAATACGCCATGTTTATCACACCAGAACTTCCTTGTTGAACTCAGAAATAGGAACAACAGGTTCTTCACTCCACAAGGGCAGCAACTTCAAAAACAACTTCTGCAGCTTTCTGGTGAGCCTTAAAAAGAGTTCAGTTTAGTTCAGGGAGGAAGTCACTTTCCCTGTATTTGCAGAACAAAAGGAAAACCACTGCTGAAAAAAGAAGCTGTCTCTTTCACAACCTCTCTCCTTAGATTATCCTATCTTGAAATATGTGCTTTGTCCCAGAGACTACAATTCAAAGACTTTCAGATTCTGAAGGCTAATGAGCATGCAGACTGCCATGATGGAGTACAGACATTGAAAGGCTTGCATGTTCTAGGTAAGTAATCTTTCCTGAACTTTTTGTTTCCTTTAATTACAATAAATAAAATACATGTGCATGGGGAAAATTCGCACAATTTCAACCATAGAAGTGAACAGAAATAAAGGTATAATTAACTGTACTATTTACCTGGTTCCTTCTGGTCTTCAGCCTCCACAGATGAAGTTTTTTCTGGTTCCTTTATTTTACTGGATGGAGGTTCAGTGTTTTGGTCAGGTTCTATCACTGCTCCTCTCCAGCTGCAGATACAAGGGACTGTAATTAAGACTTATTTTGGTCACAGAAAGTCATGTGAATGAATGGGATTTATCTCTGCATTTCCTTTATCTCATGATACTTTGATTAAAAAAAAGTTGGATTTTGTGTCAAGGATCAAAATAACTGTGTTGTCCACTAGATAAGTTTTCTGTTCAAAGAAAGAAATTTGCACCAGAGAAATTTTACTGTATTAAGAAATGTGTCTTACAAGCTCTTGGAATTTCATTAAACATCTTGGCAATGGAATTTAATAAAAAACACCTGAGAATGCTGCATTACAAGTAATTTGTTATCTACCGGCTCTGAAATGGCCACACCAGCCACTAACACTAAATAGTACCACACAAATGGTGATCACCAAAAAAATCACAAAGAAGCACAAAGGACAAGCTGCTCAAAGTATGGGCTTTGCTACCATGGGGTCACAAGCCTTCCCTGCCACCACAGATGCATAAATCAGTTTTACAGGTTTTTGTGAAAAACCTCATAAAGGAAAAGTCTTTCAGGATGAACTTCAATTCAAGCGAAGTTCATATCAAGATCAAACAATCTCGATCATACCACTTAATATACAGATGTGTTGCCTTTGAGCTCACTGATATGCTTACTAAAGGAACTAGGCTTACAGGACCTTTAAAGTTTATATTGTTTATAGTCAGCATATCTTCTGACTTAGATAATCCCATATTCCATGTCTTACTTTCATTCTTTAAATTTGTAACTAGTCTTCAGTAAGCTTTCCTTGCTCTCCTAAATTCTCCTGTTATCAGCTGCTTAATTCTGTGAGTTACAGCACAAGCAGAAGCACAGCAATATAACACTTTCAGACAACACCAACAGCCAAAATGTTGAGGCAGGCACACTTCTGATGTTATGATCAGCTCAGCTGAGCCGGTGCTGAACAGGACACAAACACATAAAAATCCCATGCCTAGTGTTCCAAATCTGAAGAATATCTGCTGAACTTTTAGTAGTCTTTTCTATACCCATGTTACATTCCTTCAGTTATTCCCAAATCAAACCACTTCAATCAATATCATCTTGGGAAACAACTTGGTATAACTACAACCATAGCAGCACAGACCCTTTACAAAAGATACTACTAGATGTGTATAAGGGGTCTCTGAACTGTAGGAGAAATTGTATATAAGAAAGGAGTAAGCACATTGTGTACAGTCACATACACACAGCTACATACACATCTGTGGTTTCTGTCAGTTCAGTCTGGGCTCACTGTGTTTAGTGGCACCAATCCCTAACCAGTACTGACACTGCTATCATTTTCCAAGCCTGGGCTAGGACAAAGACACTTGTAGCAGCACTATTGTACCGATACCGGTACATTAATATTTATTACAACAAACAGAAGAAACCTCTGGACACCAAGAATCCTCCTGAACATTAAGAGCATCTAAGTGCATTAGAAATACAGCCAGCCTCACAGGGCTCCAAATCCTCTGCAGCTGTGTGATGCAAACAGTAAAATCAGAGAAGCTGCACATTCATTGAAATGAAATCTGTCAGCCTAGCAATATCAGCAGTTATTAGGCCAGGCTCGAGAAAAATACAAGGAAGAAAACCACCTCAGACACAAAACCAAAAAGCCCTTACAATTATCACTCCAACACTCAATGGATGTTGGTGGAGAGGGGAAACACTGTAGCTTGCTTGAAACATTTCTACCTGATAATGGATTTCTCCATTTTCTCTCCTTTATCAGTCTGGACTGGCCCTTCTACAGCCCTGATGGTACTGTGTCGGGTCTTCAGCCTTGTGTCCCTCTGTGGTGCCTTGATCTGAAGATTGGAAGGACCACGATGAACATGAGGTGGGTTTGGCTGCTTCTGGGAGAAGAAAAAAAAAATATGTGCTTGGTATGTTATAAAGATGGTAAAATTTCAAACCATAAGTCAACGATATTCACTCAACAACATTAAATAATGCTTCAGATAAATCTTATTTTGCTATCATATCAGCAGGCAAGTTCTGCCTTGAATGGAAAGTATGCTAAAGACCTAATGCACTAATCACAGTCAGTTGATGTTCCTTTCCCGTTGCACTCCCACAAACATAACCCTTCAAACACTCCTAACATCTGCTCTGCCTGCTGCTATTTCTCAAACTCTCAGAAAAGCTGCTCCAATTCACTGTGACATCAACTGCATTCATGCCTCCTATTCAGCCACCACTCCAGGCTCCTCACAACAGTGAGACTGATGCCCAGAGCACCCCCAAGTCAAAACAAATTAATCACAGCACGAGTGAAGCCTCAAGTAAGAGGTCACTGTGACCTAAAATCCTGGCACTCCCAGGCAGAGCAATGAATAATAAATAGCATACAGAACACTTAAATGAAAAAGATAAAGCAAGAAATGCTACACCAAAGCCCTTCCTGAAAGGCCAGCATTCCACTCAGAGTAGAGGTTTTTTTTGCAAGTTCTAACTCTTTTCTCCACAACAACTGTTGGAACCAAGCACTATTTGCAGCCTTCACAAGTTCTTTGGTAGCTTTATAAAACTCGTTTCTTCTCTCAGTACCTGCGGTGAAAGTTCAGGGTAGTCTCCACGGTTGGCATCTGCTTTCTGGGGTGCTGGTAGAACAGCTGGATTTGCCAACTTTACTCCAGGAATTTCTTGTTCTGTTCTCTGATCATCTAATGGCTTGTTTGCTAGACCTAGAAACACAAAACTGCTCAGCACAAAGAATCAACACTTCAGGTTGCAGCTAGAAATTTATAATTTGCTGTATTCACACAGCGGATGCACCTCCAAAAAATGCAGTCATAAAACATTGATAAACACACACTAATAGTTAAATACAAATGTATTTTGGTATTAATCCTCTACCTAATATACAAAAGGGCTGCTAAAAGGCACTTTTTTTTAAATTGCTACTATTTCAGTTTCTCAATACAGGCAGTAAGATAATATCAAAGCTAAATGTGCTTAAGTATTGTACAAATGCTTGGATTTTCTAATCTGATGGGCAGTCAAAACCAAGAGAGGATTATCTTATTCTACTGATTAGGTTTGGGCTACCAATATCTACATACAAACAGAATAAACAGCCACCAAATCTTAATCGACTGTCACGGTTTAGGAATGGTACTCCCAAACTCAGTACCCCCACGGAGACCCTCCAAAACCACACAGCCGCTCTCTGCTCCCCTGTTTTCTCCTCCCAGTTCCCACTGCATCGGGGATGGAGTTGAGAATTGGAGGTAAGGGAAAGGTTGAGATAAGAACAATTAACTGAAAGCAACAATAAGATAAGAAAGTTAACAGTAACAGCAATAATATTAATAACAAAATAGTCCCTTCCCCACCCCCCAATGACACAACATGGTGTAGAATTAACATCCAAGCCTCAGCCACAACCCCTCGTGGCTACTGCAAAACATTATTGCTGTCCTGGCTGGAACCAGGACACACACACAGGTACCTATGTACCTACACAACTTTTCTTGACCCTATTCATGGCCAAGATTTCCTCACCCTGTACGTTATCCATGCCTACCTCTATACCATCCAACTATATACATATATAAATGTACAGAAGTACAGGTATAAATTCCATAGTCAAAGACTATCCTTCTAAGATGTCTGTTGAGTTCATTTAGTCCAAGACTCTGGGTTCTATCCATCCTTATGTTTTCCAGGGCAGGAAGACCTGCTGTCAGTTGGTTCAAGCTGTATCAGGAGCGAGCAGTCTGCCCTCATTGTCCATGGTGGTTATGGCACAAAGTGGCAACGTCATTCAGCAACCAATATCATACAATTCAACATTACAGACTGTGCTCACCCAAAAATCAAATCCCCTCGAGGGACACATTGTGTTTCCCCATCCCTCTGCATTACCCATCAAGTGCACCCAGGTCCTTGATCAAAAACAATCAGACGGATGGGTTTGCGTTTGCTTGAAGCAGGACTAATCCAAATTACCTTCCCTAACGCATTCTGTATATGTGCCACAGGGACTTTATCACCTTCTACAGCATGTGGAGGTTTTGATTGGATAGGCCTAGCTAGACTGGTAGAGATAGAGGTGTTAACTAATCAGGTGGCCTTCATTAAATGCAAATCCCAACGTTTGAAGGTCCCACCACCCATTACTTTCAATGTGGTTTTTAACAGTCCATTATCCAATTCATGCACCAGAGGTTGGTGCATGATAGGAAATATGATACATCCACTCCATTCCATGTTCTCTGGCCCAGGGGTCTATGAGGCTGTTTTTGAAATGAGTTCCATTGTCCGACTCAATTCTCTCTGGGGGCCATGTCACCACATGACTTGCTTTTCCAGGCCCAGGATGGTGTTCTAGGCAGTGGTGTGAGGCACAGGGTGTGTCTCCAGCCATCCAGTGGTTGTTTCCACCACTGTCAGCATGTGGCACTTGCCTTGATGGGTTTGTAGGATTGTGACATGATCAATTTGCCAGGCCTCTCCATATTTATATTTTGACCATTGCCTCCCATATCACAGAGACTTTATTCACTTGGTCCTGCTTGATTGCAGCGCACGTTTCACAGTTATGAATAACTTGGGAGATGATGTCCATGGCTTAAGTCCACCCTTAGGTCATGAGCCCATCTGGATGTTGCATCTCTCCCCTGATGACCTGAAGGGTCATGGGCCCACTGATCCAGAAGTAATTCCCCATGTTACCAGTAATTCCCCGTGTTACCAGTCCAGATACACCTAAGACACTTAAATCTTGGCAGCCTGATCCACCTGTCTGTTGTGATGTTCTTTAGTAGCCCAACTCTTGGGTACTTGTGTATCTTACATGATGTATTTTAACAGCCAACTACTCTACCTGGGCACAGTTGCCCCAATTCAGCAGCCCAGATGGGTTTCCCTCTGTGCTGCCAACCGGTCTTTTTCCACAGGTCCAGGCACCGCCCAGAGAATTTGCCACAACCCACGAGTCAGTGTAGAGGTTGAGCACTGGCCATTTCTCTTGTTCAGTGATATCTCAGGTCAGCTGGACAGCCTTCAACTCTGCAACCTGACTTGATCCACCTTGTCCCTCAAAAGCTTCTGTGACCCACCGCAGACTCCACATGGCAGCTTTCCATTTTCAGTATGTCCCTTCAATACAGCAGGAACCGTCAGTGAAGAAAGCACGTCTCCTTTCATTTTCTGGTAGCTGATTATATGGTGGGGCCACCTCAGCACGTGTCACCTTTTCATCCTCTGATGATGACAGTCTGAAATTTTCACCTTCAGGCCAATTACTGATGACCTCCAAGATCTCTGGTAATTGGGGTTTCCTATTTGAGCTTGCTGTGTGATCAGAGCAATTCACTTCATGTGGCATCAGTGGCATGATGTGTGTAAGGGACTTTCGCTTTGAACACTCAGCCCAGCACTGGCAGCTGGGGTGCCAGGAGGAGCTGTGCTTCAGTGCCAATCACTTCTGAAGTGGATCAAACTCCTTCAGAAGCTGCTAGGATCTCTTTTTCAGTTGAGGTGTAGCAGACCTCAGATCCTTTGTATCCCCAACTCCAGAACCCTGGGGGTTGTCCTGGAGTCTCCCCAGGTACTTTTTGCCAGAGACTCCAGGAAGGGCCATTCTCCCCAGCTGCAGTGTAGAACACATTTTTCACATCTTGTCCTGTCCTGACTGACCTCAGGGCTACTACATGAGCAACCTCCTGTTTAATTTGTTCAAAAGGTTGCTGTTCAGGGTCCCACTTGAAAAGGGTTTTTTTCCAGGACAAAAGATAGAGAGGGCTGACAATATGACTGTAATCTGGAATATGCGTCCTCCAAAAACCCACAACGCCCAGGAAAGCCTGTGTTTCCTTCTTGCTGGTGGCTGAGGACACAGCTGGTATTTTGTTGAACACATCCACTAAAATCTCACAATGCCCATCTTGCCATTTTACCCTTACAAACTTAAATTTCCTGGGCAGGTCCCTTGACCTTACTTTGTTTTATGGCAAAACCAGCCTTCAGGAGGATGGATTATCTTCTCCCCTTCCTCAAGAACTTCCTCTGCTGTGTTGCCCCACACAATGATGTCATCAATGTATTGCAAATGTTCTGAAGCCTCACCCTTTTCCAGTGCAGTCTGGATCAGTCCATGCAAATAGTGAGGTTGTGTTTCCATCCCTGGGGCAGAGGCTGAGTTTCTGTCCTCTTCCAAACTCCCTGGTCAGTGCCCCCATCCTGGGACAGGGATCCCAGTTGCTTGGCTTCACTGCCATCTAGTTTCATATTGTGGGCTGCAAAAGCCCAGCACCAGAGTAACCAGGTCACCAGGGGCTCACCTGACTAGCAGTTGAAATCTTTTCACACATCTCACAGGTCACCCAAGGATGGGGATCAGGCGATTATCTCTGGCCCTGCCTCTTCCTCCTGTTCTGAGGGCCCTACTTCCTCTTCATGCCTCACTAAGCAAACTCATTTGGTTTTGGATTTCTTCTCGTGTATAGGGGCAACTGCTACTGGCATGGGTTGTTCCTTTGGCTCAGCTGCAGTCTGAGTGGTCACTGTGGCTGTTGCTCTGCTTTCCTCCTCCTCCCCCTGAGGGTGCTGTCTGGTGATGAGAGTGTCTCATAAATAGTAGCCAGGGCCCAACACACTGCAATAAGTTGCTCCTCTCTGGAGCTGCCACAGCATTCTCCTTTCAGATATTCTGCCACTTTATCAGGGCGCGGTAGCTGTTCAGGGGTGAACTTCCAAACCATTGCAGCAGAGAATTTCCCCAAAAGCTGGCCCATTTTCTCCCACATTCCATGCCACTCATGACTAGCCACCCTCGGGGCAGATCTCTGAATGACCTTCTGTAGTGGTTTGGATCTTGTTTTCCCCCCAGAG